TGGGGCTAAATCAAGTTACAAAAAGGACTAGGCAAACTATTCTATGTCCTATCTATATCTAAACTTCTATCTATGGCATGTTTCTTCTCTCTTAATAGACATTTGTATACGAATTTACAGAGTTTTTCTAATGCATCATGGTTAACTGATCGTGGTAGCAACAGTAGACGATGCACTCCCAGGTTGGCGACAAGATAGTCTTCCGAGACTGGACTGCCAATGATGATGATGAACTGAAGACAACCGGTTAAAATCGCTTTATATATGGTGTACCTAACACATAACCTTCTCGACAACGGCAAAACTTTTAATGTCGTCTACTCGTCTTCCAAAGCATTCAGTACTCCAGAGAAGGTGGCTTCTCCGCTGGCATCACTCTCTAGGTACCCGTCGGAGAGCATCATCCACACCTGGTCCGTGCGCCTGAGGAGTAAGACGGCGGTGCTGCTTGCCTGGGTCTGCCCGCCCTGCGCGGTCAGAGACACGATCTTCACCCCGTTCTTCACCAGCGAAACGGTGCAACGGGAGTCGGCCGCTGCGCCCTTCCTCGCCGTGAATGTGAAGGTGTACACGCCGCGCGTCGTGGCCACGAACTTCCCGGTCTCCCTGTCGTAGCCTCCGCCCACGTTGGTGTGGATGACATCGTATGCCAGCACGGGTGCAAGGACGTCTGTGCCGGAGCTTAGAGCCGCAAAAAACGCCACAGCGGGAGGGCTGGGTCCAGGCGGGCCTCTCTGTCCAGGAGATCCAGGCGGTCCAGACGGTCCAGACAGTCCAGGCGGTCCAGACGGTCCAGGAGATCCAGACGGTCCAGACTGTCCAGGCGGTCCATCCTGTCCAGGCAGCCCAGGCAGCCCAGGATATCCACGTGGCCCGTCCCTTGGCCCAAGCATGTCTGGAATACAGCCAGGTTTGCATTTGGGACCTTTAAGGGTACAAGGAAAAAACAAATTGAGTAAGCAAAACAGAGAGGTCTCTAAAAGCCAGGTTTCAAGAACATACACGGCCTAGCTCTGCCAGTTCAGAGGTGTCTCAACACATCCACATCGAGTCACCCGGACATTTTGTTTCACTTGACACTGTAAGGATTTTAGACACTGAACAAGACTATTTCTTGAGAGGGGTGAAGGAAGCCATATACATCAGGGCCCATCACCCTACATTAAACAGAGAACTTTTTGGCGACGCCTTTGGGGCGGAGGCATTTGTGTAAGTACTACGATCGCTTTGAAAGAATTTCAAAAATTGCATGAATGCGTTCCCCAGGGAATTGGTTTGGAGGAAACCTTCCACCATGAGGTTTTTGGATCAAGCAGGTAACTTACACGGGGTGCCCACGTGCCACCCATCCAGATGCTTGGCATGATTAATTACTGGTCATCAGTCTTCTCCCCACACGATGGACAGAGAGCACAGCTGTCTTTGGCCAAAGACCATATTCAAACAGGTCACAGAGAGAAAAGAAATTATCCGTCCTTTTGGAACCCACAAAAGGTAAAAAAAAGTCAAAGGAGTAACAACTTCAGACCAGACATAAAATCCAGTCTCTGGTGGAGGATAGAGTGAAGTGGAGGATGGTTTTCAGTTTGGTTCTAGCGGGAACTCGACCAAAGTAAAGTAAGTAAGTATGTCATCATAACATCTATATTGCTGGGGAAGAACGGCTGATTCCTCCTATACGTGTATTTGGTATATTGCCCCACACCTCCTCCACCCAGCCTGTAAATTTCACTACGTGCATGTCTTTATAACATAGGGAAATATGTTTTTCTGATAATTGTAATGTAGATTGCTAGCTCCACCACATGAAATAATATATATCATTCAGTCGTCGCCTTGGCAATGATTTTTATTGCCTCAGCCTTGTTTGTGTTGGACCCAAAGTTTTAACTTTAAACATGAGTAAGCAAAATGTAACATTTCGAAAAAAAAAACTTTCAGCGTAAATAGAGATCACAAGCCTCTGAATATTACAATGATATAAACTAAACTCTAAAGGGCAAAGTAAGGAACGATGCACGTGATTTTTTTTATTCATCAAAACAAGGAAAACATAACAAGGACAGTGTGACGCTGCACTCAAGTTTACAACTTGTATTAAAAACGCCACAAACAAAAAAAGTACAATTAATATTAACAATTAAAATGTACAATTAACATAGTACAATTGACATACTCGTGATTGTGATATCTTTATCGGTATGGAACATCATACGCTTGGATATGGATGGGGGGTCTATAGACAGTTTTTCATACAATGTGTACAATACTGTATACCCTCAAACACCCGAAGTTTTTTGTGACGTTAATGCCCGAACGGGGTCCAAAAGGACCCCGTTTGGTTTCTTTCAAATTTATTTTTATGGGTTCACCACACCACGAAGTGGTGGTGAACCCATATTGCTTTTTCTGATGTTTCTTCTCCTTCTTCTTCTCCTGCCATTTTTTAAATGGATTCAGCTTCTTCATTTTAGGGCCCAAGGTCCTGAAATTTGGTATGGAGGTACAGTGGGCAAATACCCCTAGGCATTTTTTAAATTATTGTGATACAGGCTTTTAGAATGGTTTTATTTGAGTTTTTTGGCTGTGTTATAGCAAATGTATTACTGTGTTAGTGTGCCTTGTTTACCACGTTTGGGCATGAGTCATCACAATGGAATGCAGGGCATCAACCAATAGGCATGCAGCTTTCCTCCATTCTTCTTGCTGATTGGCTGTTGGGATTAAACTTGATCAACACCTGCACAGAGCATTTCCACCTGCACAGAGCATTTCTTGCTGATTGGCTGTTGGGATTTAACTTGATTAACACCTGCACAGAGCATTTCCATACTGACAGTATGTCTGTATTCAAGTGTTTTGGTAGGTATTTCAAGCTTTCCTGCTCCAGCATTGGAATGCGGGGCATGGACGTTTTTTTTTATTTTGAAAATCAACAGTTTGCATTATGCAATTAAAAATCCTAACCAATAAAGTAGGGAATAGCTATCCAACTGTTGTTTTAGTTGTATTTTACTTCATATTATAGTTATATCAATGTAAATCATTGTTTTCCCTTGTGTTTCTCATTCTTTCCCTGCCATGTCGTAAAATGTGGTGAACCCATCGCTGTATGAATGAATGAATGAATGAATGAATGAATGAATGAATGAATGAATGAATGAATGAATGAATGAATGAATGATACTGAATGAATGAATGATACTTTATTTCCGTGTCGTGCGCTATCCCGCGCCCAGCCCGTGTGGCGCTCCAAAGCAAATATTGGCCTTTCTAGTCCTTTTTGCATTCTTTCAGTGATCTTTGCACATATATTGTTTAAATATAGTAAGAGGTATATTTTGGCATGATTAAGTGTAAAATACCATTATCATAAATTATGCAAAAATAAGATGAGGCCTTCAGGCATGAACATGGGGTTGACCTTTGACCTCATATGATTGTCAAATTGTCAAACCTTTGAAAACCTGATGACCTAACTCCTGAGGCTGAGGTTACTTGGCAAACCGTTTGGACCCCAGACGGTCTTACATAAGACTTCCGTTGTTATTTTTACAAATTTGTGCCGATCTCCAAAAAAAATTAGGAGAACTTGTAGAAGAGGTTTATCGACAAAGTAACGGGAGGAATTTTTTTTAATGAAAAAAATTTCAAATAGCACATAAAAATATACGCCTGGGGTCCAAATGGACCCCGTTCGGGTGTTTGAGGGTATTAAGCTAACCTTACCGGGCCGTCCTGAAAGCCCCGGCAGTCCTGGAGGCCCCGACGGTCCCGGAGGCCCCGGCGGTCCGACGGACACTGTACCCCCGCCATCACCTACCGGACCTGGAGGGCCTACACAAAAAAAATACCGAGTCAGGAAAATAGTCCTATCATCTAAGCGAATTCACTTGGCCTGAGACGAATAATTTACATCACATATTAACGTTTAAATTCATGATACCTCAGCCAGGTATAGGGTCCTGGAACTGTGTACTTTCTACGTGCCAAAAGTCTGACGTACAAGGCTCATCTTAGCCTGGTATCCAGTCTGATCCTGGTCGGGGCCTAAAGAGCTCTGTTCCGCCCGCCTCACATGCATAGGTTTCCCGGTGTGTATTTCACGAGAGATTGATTAGCCCTCCACGCATACTGTCTCTTATTAGCGTAACTCTAGATCTCCTACCGGGACGGTCTGTTGCAATGGGCGGGGGAAGCTATTAGAGCCCCCGAAGGCACAACCTGCCCGAACACCCCAATACCTCCAATCACGTAAGACTGGATACCAGGCTATATAGGCTCATCTGTGTTGGCCAATAGAGTAATCATTACAAAACTACGTTCTCAGACAACATATAAAATATCTCAGGGGTACATTGAGCTATAATGTAGAGTTGTTGCGTAGTTCTAAGTTTAGCTTCTAATGGCCACCACAAGTCTTAGCTTTTACCCTGTCAGCCAGACTAGTATCGGGCCGTTAGTCGACTTCCTTCGGGAGCCAACTGGCACTACGCCTGCCTATCTTACTGCTACGGCCCGATACTAGTCTTGCTTCCAAGGTAAATACAGATTAAATCACGTACCTGGAGGTCCCGGGGGTCCTGGTGCAGCAATGACCTTGATCTCACACGGATTCTTTGGGCATGCTCCCTCTTCTTCTTCCCCACTTACAGGGTAGAAAACACTGCTGAAGGAAAGAAAAAACAACGCAACGAAGAGGTTTGCTGTTCCAAATAGGCTAGACATGGCGATGTTGTTCACTTAAAGTTCTTAACGCCTGCACAGACGTATTATGTAGTGCCTGGCAAATGGAGGGCGTGATTGGCGATATCGGATATGCCAGATGCGTTAAAGTTTGATGTAATCTGGATAATAATTTAACAATGATACACTAAATAAAATGATTGATGTTTGCTTGTATAGTGTTATCAAGGACATGTTCGTATGATTTCTACACACCATCTACAGTTTACAATTGTTTTGTGTGTGTGTGTGTGTGTGTGCTTTGATAAACCCTTTCAGACCCTTGCATCTTGCATAAGCTGTTCTGAACACCACCTGTTGGTGGTTTTCTGTTCCTGCCTGATTAACACTGTCACAGGCAGTCGATGAAGTCTGTGTTTGTAGGAAACGCGATGCAACTTCGGGAAAACAAACTAAGGCCACACCGATTTAATTTTATGGATGACATCCTTTGAAGACCCCGAAACTAGTGCGCGCGGGCGAAAAAAAAATCCGGCGAATAATAAAAATGCTACTAAGCCACAGGAATACAAATCCGGTATTGTGAATTTGGCGCATTACATAGTGACGTATACGACAGGCCGGCACATGCTGGCTTTTTGCGGAATTTATTAATCGACACTGTACGTATGTACTGAGTTCTTGAGTTGTGGAGCTTCGGTAGCCTGGGTGCCATCCTCCAGAGTTACCACCGGCTTTTTTGTCGCTAACCACCATGAACTACCAGGCCTGAAGCCGGAAGACGTGATCTTTTTTTTTTTTTTTAGATCAGGCGAAAATTAATGCGCGCGCGGATGTCATCCATAAAATTAAGTCGGTGTGGCCTAACCTTGACTACCACTAGCTAATGTTGTTGCCAGAAAATAATCAGACACATCTGGTTTCTACATGCTGCAGGGCAGGGCTTCTTCATGTCAATATCGATAAGGCCACAACAAGTAATTTTTATGGATGACATCAGCGCGCGCATTAATTTTCGCCTGATTTTGGAAAAAAAAACAAGAAATTTTGTTGCCTTCTGACAGCGGTCGACAATGCGCAAAGATGCCATGCCGGAAGGTGGATGGCAGATATATGAAGAGAGGAGACAAGACAAGGCTCTGATTCAATGTTTTGCTTCTTACTTTGATGCAGTGATATGTGATATCGGCTGTGTATATGTGATGTTCCCACTGAATCAAAACCATTTGTACAATGATTGAGTCAAAATTTCACAATATAGGAACCTTGTTTTTTTTTGGCCCGGTAAACTAGTACTTATAAACACCGCTACGAGACCCTGGTGTTAACTAATACTTATAAACACCGCTACGAGACCCTGGTGTAAACTAGTACTGATAAACACCGCTACGAGACCCTGGTGTAAACTAGTACTTATAAACACCGCTACGAGACCCTGGTGTAAACTAGTACTTATAAACACCGCTACGAGACCCTGGTGTAAACTAGTATTTATAAACACCGCTACGAGACCCTGGTGTAAACTAGCTATTTAATATTAACGTACCTGTAGAAACATCTGATTATAACCAGAATAATATCAACTCATTTCAGATAATAAGCAAATGAATATTAGCGAATCTGTAGAAAACATTTGATTATAACCGTAATAATATCAACTCATTTCAAACATAGAAATAATGTAAGTATTCATTATAAGGTTTTAGCCTTTCTTGAGTTTTTCAACAACAGACATCTCATTTTACCTCACTTTACTCATTTTCACCTAAAGTGAGAAACTTCGTGTCAAGTGCCTTTCTTAAGGGCACAAGGTGAGCAGGATTCGAACTCGGGACTTCTTGGTTCCGAGCCGAACTATCTGTTGTTACGCCACACGACTCCAATCCTGTAGCTTCCTTTGCAAACTTTTAGAGCGGCGGCGTTATTTTTTTTTTCGGTGAGCGACGCGAGTTATACCGCAGAGGGATCGGCTTTACCGTCGAGAGGGGTTCGCCCCCAACGACTACTCTTCCCGGCAAACTCCCTCGGCGGCAAAATCGTCCCTCGGCGGCATAACTCGCGTCGTTCACCGAAAAAAAAAAAACATAACTCTGCCACCCTGCAAGTCTGCGAAGGAGGCTACCAATCCTGTATGTTCAGATTACGGTTGATTTGTCATACACAAAAGATGACCTCTAACCTTATCAACCTATCGGTCGAACTGTCACGTCATCGCGGCGGGCTCCAGGGAAAGGTGCCGTCTTACAGTAAACATCTCCAGGCCACGGCCACGTATACAGCAGTGCAGACAAAAGAAGACGCCGCGAAACACCTTCGCAAGGTGGGTAAAGCCAAAGGGTTTGTCATATTATCTTGGGTAACACCAAGGACACACGTATAATGTCCTTGGTAACACGTATTAATCTCCAAGCAGATATTTTGGTGGGGGTAAGACAGTATCAAATTGGCCAGCCTGTAACCATTTCCCCACATGGTTACAGACTGGCCAATTTGATACTGTCTTACCCCCACCAAAAGATCTGCTTCGAGATTAAACACGTATCAATGTTTAGAAACAGGTGTCGCTAAAAGAATATGGCAACATCATGATTACGATTTCACACTAAGTACTGCTCTACTTAGAGCCATTTTAGACAAATGAGTGGCTACGAAACACCATTTCGGGCATCACATTGCGAACTGACATGGGAAAACTACTAATACTTTGGCCAAGCAAGTAAACTATGACTGACAGGAACGTGTTTCAATAGTCACCTGGTCAAAATCGTCTGGACCTTGGCCTGAGTTGGTCTGATATCCGATATACTGACCCAAGGACGGTGGAAAATGGAGGGGGGAGGGGGGTAACAAGTTGTATTAGTGCGACACAAGTACAAAATATTTTTGGTCATCTGTAATTCCAGAAACATTTTATAATGCATATGTAGACGTTAACATTGCATCGTGTCTAAGAAGAATGTCTCTAGACAAGTACAAAATATTTTTGGTCATCTGTAATTCCAGATACATTTTATAATGCATATGTAGACGTTAACATTGCATCGTGTCTTAGAAGAATGTCTCTAGACAAGTACAAAATATTTTTGGTCATCTGTAATTCCAGAAACATTTTATAATGCATATGTAGACGTTAACATTGCATCGTGTCAAGTACAAAATATTTGTGGTCATCTGTAATTCCAGAAACAGTTTATAATGCATATGTAGACGTTAACATTGCATCGTGTCTTAGAAGAATGTCTCTAGACAAGTACAAAATATTTTTGGTCATCTGTAATTCCAGAAACACTTTATAATGCATGTGTAGACTTTAACATTGCATCGTGTCTTAGAAGAATGCCTCTAGAGTCTAGCGTGCCACATTTTGCTGCGATACAAATAGTTGTCAACACCTATAAACTATTAATGAAAGGATTGTTGGGCAGACATGACAGAGGTTCTTTAGATGTCACGCCAACTTGTTTCAAATTCAGTAGGCGTGGACTCCTATATATATAGTTTCTTTCTCACATAGAGCACGGCACTAGAGAATATCTGCAAACGTTTCATGATTTTAGGCCACACCAATTTAATTTGTTGGTTCTCGGATTTTTTCAGAAAAAATATGAAGCGACAGGGCGAAAAAAAATAAAAATAAAAACAGGTCTAGGCATCCTATTATAGGCTTAAATGCTAAGAAATGAGCCATGAAGTCAACACAAAAGGCTGGGTTAAAATTTAAACATTGAATTTTGAACTTTTAATCAAAAACTGCAATGATAGATGGGAAAACTGTAACAACTAGGAAGAAAAGGACTTTCCTCAACTGTTGGGGGCAAAACATGAGCATTTTTCAGTTGATTCAGAACCAGAATAATTTTTTTTT